CCTGTCAATAGTGCCAAAAATGGCACTGCTGACAGGACGATCCTGTCAACAGTGTCAAAAATGGCACTGCTGACAGGACGATCCTGTCAGCAATGCTGTATTTCCTGTTATTGACAGGATCGTCCTGTCAGCAGTGCAATATTTTCTGCTATTGACAGGATCGTCCTGTCAGCAGTGCAGTATTTTCTGCTATTGACAGGACGATCCTGTCAGCAGTGCAGTATTTCTTGCTGTTGACAGGACGATCCTGTCAATAGCCTCAGGCTAATTTAAACATTAAGCATCACTTCTGCGTAATCGCGGAGGCTGGGAGGCATCTCTCCGTACGTGCTCAGCCTGAGTGTCAGCCAATGGGTAAAAGAAGCGGAAGACAAACGCTAGTTACTCGGGGGAAATTCTACATCAATACGACATCTATATACATCACTATTAACGAACCAGGCGTCCGGCCCAAGCGCATCCTGACAAGATATCTGACGGGATACTCAATCATCTGCGCCAGCCAAGTGCATATTTTCCACGACGGGGGACCGCCGAACGCGCGTGGAATTTCCGCGGAACACCCAGACGCTTCTACCGCCGTAATCCGACGCCCTTGCTGGGCGCAGCGCTGGTGCTAAAGGTGCCTGCACCGCCACGGTCAGGTCAATACACCGCCGGCACTCCACTTGTCGCTACAGGAGAGAGACCTGTGTTTTCCCGACTCCGACATGTGGGCCCTCTGTTTATGTCAGGAGAAATTTCTTCCTGCGAGGGCTCTCTCAGCAAATTTCCCATCGATCTTCTGAAGAAGTGTTAATAAACAGGGGAGGCCATCTATTGACCGCGGGGAAGCGCAGACGTTGCCGGTATTGCAGTCGGCAGGCGCACAGGTTCACATCGCTCTCAGTACGTCATGCGCACCGCCGCTTCCTGGTCGATATATTTGTCAATGATTAAACCGAGCGGCCTAGTCGTACTGTAGAGTTCTCTCCGCGAGTCAACAGTGCTACTTGAGACTAAAGCCGTCATGGATTTCGGACGACACCTTGTTTTGGGGCTGCTTTATTCTGTGGTGATGCACGCAGGGAGGGTTTCTACAGCCGAGTTTAACGTTGTGATTGTCCAGCCACGAAACGCGGAGTACGAGTGGACAGACACAAGCCTGGCGCACGTTACTATGGACCAGATAGAGCCCGCCGTCAACCTGGCCATAAAGAGTGTGGGGGAAACGGGCATGCTAGGCCAGCACAACTTCACCACACATACGGTGGACTCAGAATGCAGTCATTACATGACGCTGGTCAGACTTGTGGACCTGTACTACAAGGCTAACGTTCGGCCCGACGTTCTGATCGGCCCGACGTGCACCTACGCGGTGGGGCACGCCGGGCGCCTGGCCAGCCACTGGGCCGTCCCGATCATATCTGCCGGGGGGCAGCCGTCGGCGCTCCGTAACAAGACAGGTGGGTACCACGGCGAGTACAAGACGCTAACTAGAATGGGAGTCACCTACAACAAGATGGCGAACGTTGTGGTGGAACTTCTCTGGAAATACAACTGGAATCGGGTGGCCTTGGTACATTATGACGCCAGGAACCAACAGAATGACTGCAAATACGGCGCGCAGGCCATCAAGGAAAAACTCGACCGGATCCGCAGCAACACGACCCTAGACGAGAAAGTCCCGGCCGACAAGGACCCGATCGATTTGGTGCTAGACAAGGCGTACGACAAGGATTCCAACCTTTCCTATGACACCTTCCTTGTCGAGCTGGCAGAGAGAGCTAGAGGTAAGGCCCTGCCATCGTCTTTGAATTTGACATGGTTCTTACCAAACAAACATACCTTCCCCCGACCTTCAGGTAATACGAGTATCTTTATTTTGACACCCTCCCCATAGGAAAGATCAATGTTAACATCTGTTAGATATCAGCCCTCCGTTCCAAAACTAGGCGAGGCGTCCAAACGTACCAAAGATTCCTCTTCTCACAACATCTCAAACAGAAAATATTATGAGCTAAGTTGTTTGGAGTCCACAAAGCATGTCGTTTCCGAGTCACTTCAACATTCAGGGTTCACTGGCGTTCACGCCCGCACAGACAAAGTGTAAAGAGAAGGGAAACTCAAGGGAAGCAGAGAACATGTAATTGCATTAGACGAGTTAGGGATTTGTCCTTCTACAATCACACAGAAATAAGGCAGTTACCGGGGCCCTATGGGAGGAAATCAGGCACACGAACGCTCATTGGCTGTTTCATTAATCTAATTTTCCTAACACAATAACCCAGACGTCCCTGCTAAATCTGTTGTATCACCAAAAGTGCATTTGTTCAACGCCTATACGCAAAAATTTACAAAAATAATACTTCATGATGTACTAAATCAGTATCAGGTATTTGATTTAAACAAGAAAATCCGTCTACGGGTCTTTCACTGAGCCAAATCAAATTGTATATTTCAAAGCCGAACACTAGTCTGATGTTGTAGACACAAACGTTATTATGGATTGTAAATTTAATTATGGGCCCTCGCAAGAGGCAAGCCGACGTTTTTATTGTAGCGCCTCAGCGGTGCTCAAACGAATTATCAAAAGAGGGAAAAAGATTGCCAGCTTAACAAGTCTGGTTTTTCTTTTTTTCGCAGCTGTTAGAACGAAATTTTCACAATAACAACGTCCAGCCATGCTGTACATGTGTATATATTTTTACTTCAGTAGGACAGTGCCCTTCGCTCTAAGCGCAAAACATCCGTGTCCTGCTTTGGCTCGAGTTTCCGTGGAATGCCGCTTTTTCCCCCTCATCCAGTTATAGGTGTTATAGAGGCTGGCAAGTAGCTAGGCATGGTGCAATTACTTGGCTCACCAATGTCGAGGCGTAACGCACCACTGCATAGGAGCGCCTCTCCAAAACACTAGTACTCATTCCCAAGTTATGAAGTGGGGACCGTCCGTTAGATACATCCGACGGGTTGAGTTCGTCTTAAGACCTTGAACGAAATGGCATCCCTGTTCCGCTTCGCTGTACTTGATTCAATAGTTTCTTGTTCCTCAGCGGGGCGCAACTTGCTGGTTCCTTCCGTAGGGAACGCGGGGACAGGTCAGAAGATATCGTTGAGGGATGATACGACTGAAACGTACAGGACCCGAAGCTTGGCTAGGAAGTTTGATTTTAACAGTGGAGTATTTCGGAAGTTGTATCACTGTACAGCAAGGGTACTTTTCTCAAGGGTAGTCTAGGGTGTACAAAACATGACTAATGACAATTCACCGTCCCGTTAAAATGTGTTGTGCACCGGCGCTTTAAACCGATTAAGGGTTTGTGAGTGCTTGGTCACGATGCTGTGCACTGCTTTAAATCAATCAACGCGGGGACCAATGGGGTGCGATCTCTGGTCACCTTGTATGACAGAAAATCCGTAGGTACGCGGGAAAACACGTGCCTCACCGCAGGTGTGTGCATGGTGCAATATGGTGCAAACCATAAATCACTTGGCAATGGTTCCGTGTGCCTCAACCTTACAATAACAACTGTTGTTCTTATGTAAGTAAATGTATTTTCTGCCGATACCTGTATCAGTATTAGGCGCCCAACTTTTCTGTCAAGACCTTTCGAAAAGTGGGTCTTCTGGGAGCTTAACGACAATTTGCACCCCTCCCCTACCACCACCCTTCTTTCAGTGGAACGGCACCAACCTACAGTTATCAACAATCAGGTTTACAAAACTGCTTTTCTACATGGACATTTTGTCAACTGATTAGTGCTGGCTTCAACTTGTATGGCGTTAACTTGGTGACTCGTCGGTTCAGTGACTCTCCGCAACAAGTGTGTGGACCACACGCAGCAACAATCACTGTCACACTCTCCCATTCACACGAGACCAGCATAGTTAATGGTGTAGTTCAGTACAGTTACAACGCCCAAATATTTGCCCATTAGTGAATGGTCAATTGGCAAGCTTTCACGGTCCGTGTTTTTGTACGAGGTTTCGTAATGCGGAAACTACAAAAGTCAATGGTCAACAAGAATAGCCTTAGAGATTACCACAAAGGCACACAATACTTCTTATCAATGGCACGCAAACGCACACGTTTATCGTGTAGAATTATATATAACGGTTATATATGTGACTATAACTGTTATATATCTATCTATTATGTACGTGTCCTCCACTCCTATACCTAGGTACCGTTTCAATTGTTAATTCCCAATATTGCCTTTTATTTTTATGTAGGTTTTGCGTATCAAATAGGCAACTGTGACCGAAGTTCACACCTGCTTGCTAAATACGGTAAATAGATACAGAAATACATGACGACGTAATATCATCTGGAAACAGTGTCAAGGGCATCCAAATTTTGCAACGAGCCCAAATGCTGTTTTTATGGCCCGCCATCTTCTTATAAATCAAGCGTTGATGCCCGAATGATCGCGCATGCTGACAACGTCGTAACGTATAGGTGCTTCGACATTTTAAATGAACGCAATTCTCAAACTTCCGAATATCCACTTACGCTCACTGACAGGTAATTTTCATTTTCATCAGTCAGGGAATCTATAACATGCAAGTCTGTCATATTCTATATTAGAAGAGGGAAGCACGAGCGATGAAAATGTCACAATAGAGCCGTCAGCGGCGTCTAGAAATTACCTGCAACATTTCAAAGTTAATAGAAAGGCACGGAAGTGGATAGTCGACTCGACGGTTATGAAATCAGTGGAAGTTCAAGTTTGTGTGCGATCATTCTTCCACCACAGTGAGCGATGTGGTAAGTTCTAACAGGTTTGACAACAGATCTTAAGTTGACTTGCAGTATGTCAGTATTATATCGCGGAAATACATTGTAACGTTATGTATGATAATGATGAATATGTGTAAATTAGTAGAAAGGCATGGAATATGATATCTAATATTATACGTATACATTTTAAGAAAATTAAACAGTGCCCTCCCCCCTCAACGTTATTTCAACGCATTTTTAAGAATGTCTTGGATATCTTGGATATCTCAAGGAGGCTATAGTGAAGATCCGAGGCAGGGTGATGCTGTATTAAATAGTATTCAATACTGAAGTGATATATGATCTTTGTACATATCAGGATTTCTCTATCTGTGTTTGATCCTGTTTTGTATACATGTAACTTCAGCCTGTCATTACAAAGTAGGCTATGGTTCAGGCGATTTAGTCATCTGAAGTCAATCAGTGGCTGAGCAGCATGTGTGAAAATAAACAGAACGTACTGGGCACAAAACTACAAACATCCGCCGTGCCATGCAGACCACTGTCTGAGCCTGACTGTTTATATATACCCAGTAACACAGAACTACAGATGTTATGTCCCACGGCCATACGCTAGGTGTATTGTTATTAGGCGTACTGATCGTTTGTAACCACTTACAAATAGATGATCATATCGTCAAGGGTAGTTTATCATCAACGCTTGGCTTGAGGCGTTTTGAAGTCGCGTGTTTATTTTGTTGAAAATGAATGCTAGCTTTTTGTTTTGTCATTGTGGTTTTCATAATACAAAACACGCCTAGTATGTGCCATGTTTCTTTACGTTAAGTACCTATATACGTCTACAGTATGTCAAAGGTCAGTGACACCCGGCACAGTATTTCTCCCTGTTTTTTCTCAGGGAGAGTTTGAGTGCATACACGTGTTGGGAGCTTAATTTGCATACTCGTGACTTGGCAAAATGCGGCCTTTTATTTTAAATACCACACTTAAGCCACAGTGTCCTGTTTCTGTCTCCAATATTGGAAGAGGGGGTGAAATTATGCTTACCTGTTTTGGGATATCTATATCATTTCATGTTTATTTTTACCTCAACAAGTAAGGTTGATAGTTTACAACTTGATTGCGTCGCACGTTGAATTTGGAGCTCACAGTGTTCATGTATTAATAAAAAGTTAAAAAGTATAACACATCTCTCACAAGATTATGATGAAAGACCGTGAGACCAGCTCGTCTGTTCCTTAATCTTAGTGTGCTCGCCATGTTGACACTTCATGGGAACCTTCCCCCCTTTTTTCCCGCCTTTTGTTTCCCAAACACGGGGACAGTTCAGGGAGACATGAAAGAAAATAATGGCCGTGTCACGCACGTAACCTGAGGTGTTGTGTGGTCGGCATGAGGTTGTTTGGAATTCGAAGCTATGATTGGTTTGTAGATAAGATCAATCTAGAAGAAGGCCCCAATACAGAGAGAATGGTTGTAGGTAAACTGGTCGGGAAAAATGTGTCATATTTGTCGTAAGCCGTCGCACGGTTTTGATTTCGTACAATATTTTCAATTAGGCTGAACCAACCAAAGGCAAGGCTCAAAGACGTACAGACTCCTCCGTAACAGAACAGCTTAATTTTGCATGACATTTTTGCACGACTATTTCAAGAAGAACGAAAGAATATTTCGTGCGACGACCGCAGGACGAATATGACCGGACCCTATAGCTAACATGCATCACTCATCGAACTGGAAACTCAACAGCGGGTTGTTTCGTGGTTGTATCACCTTTTTAACCCACAACAGATCCAAAGAATGTGTGTGTCAGGCACTTATCGAACACACGTGACCATGGGCGGTTTTTAGCTTGAGTCAGGTTCCTTTGAGTCTTTCTTGTGGGTCTGCATGGGGGATAAGAAGAATACCGAAGCCAACTTTTCCCACAAGAGAAACCGCCGACGTTTCATATTTGTAGTATGGGCACCTATGTGGCACAGACATGTTAATCTAAAATGCCTAAAATTTCCAACAGTCCCTGTAGTCAATAGAAAACAACATACATATATG